AAACTCAGGTGCTTGCAAAAAAAACGTGAAAAGCGAAGGCACCTGACAAGGCTCTCTATCATACAGCGCCCCTTCTATGATCCTCGTGGATAAAGACATCAGTAAGCAGTAAAAAATCTGCTCAGTAGAGATACAGGCTGCATATACTAGGAGTCAGAAAAAGTCACTGGATGAACAGAAAAGTGGGAAGACGTGGAATTACATCAAGAGGCTGGCCCAGGACAGGGAAATGGGGAAAGTGTTTATTCGTGGCCTAAAACCTGATCCAGGGTGAGAAAAGCAATGATGATGATGGTGATGATGATAATGATGATGATAATGATGATGATAATGATGATGATGATTTGCTCAGTATGAGTGACATAAAAAAAATTTTGAATTTCACAAAATGTAAAGCTTTTTTTAACGTAATCCTTAGAAAATCTTGATTACGACTCTGAATGACCTTTCAATTTTGATAGAATACAGCAGATGGAACATTTGGTTTCTGACCTCATGGTCTTAGTAACTCAAAATGGCCAAAAATGTCAGATAGACTTTGCAATTCTAAGGGAGCTATTAGGATGAAACAGAAGTGCCTTTTGACCTCGTGGACAGGGGGTTAAATAAGCTAAGAGTTCAAATAATGGACAGTCTGTCAATTATTTCCGGAAGCAAGATACCAAACCTCCTCCTCACCTCCCACAATTGTACGCATATTCATTTTTGGTATAGCGATAAACCCACAAAAGCTGCATCGTTGAAGAGCTCATTGGTCATTATATAGAGGTTTAACACCTCTTTCAACACTGTAAGGTTAGGTAAAGGGAGGAGGAGGGGGGGACCTCTGAATGTAACATCCATCTCCAGTAAGACAGAGCCAAATAAATGTGAGGTAGCGTGGTGGAATCAGGCTCTCGTCAATTTTTGGGCATGTAGAGTTATTAGTATCATCTTAAAGCTTGTTCACTTGACTTTATTTGGATGAAAATAATATCCATTTATCTTGAATACAAGTCGAGATATTTGTAAACGAAGGAGGTGAGGGTCACCTGTTTTCAGAGGTAAAATTAGTGAGAAAATGGCGCCAAAGATTAGTTATCTCTTTATCTTAAGAGTCCGTGGTAACTAAAAATTTACATTTTTGAGTGCCTTTAATCAACGTTTGTCAGAAAAATTCACACAGAAATGAGTTCTTTAATGGGCATGAAAGGTGTTGAACCAAAAAACAAAAATTCATAAAAATTCATAAACGTGTAGAAAAATGCAAGTTTCCTCACTTTGATTATTTTGACGAGAGCCTGATTCCACCACGTTGCCTCACAAATGGAGAGCCTATATCACAAAAACAATAGTTAAACCCTTCAAGACAGCTCCCGCACAAGAACATCATAAGTGAACATGTCACACTCCTGTACAACCTAAGCCCTCAAATGCATCAATCAGGACTTCATAACTGTTTCACAATTGCTTGGAAAGGAACTTTAACCGAAACTAATGAAAGACTCGAAATATCTGCGATAAAAAAATATGTACAAATTAGACGAATCTTTCATTTTGAGAGGGGCAGCAAAACAACCCAAATTCAAAACACTCCATATGGGAATTTGCACCAGGACCATGCACTCATTAGTCCAGCATGATAGCATCTGAGCTAACAGCACACCCTGTGGAAGAGTTAACTCTATCTGTATGCCTGGGATCCTGAAATTCCTACGAATTACACCACCTGCTGCCAAATGATCAAGTCAAACCTCAAGGAAGAGTGGATGAATGATTGGGCCACAGGTACCACAGGAAGGAGGATGTATGGCCACATGAATAAACCACTGGTCAAAGATCCAATCAATGAGTTGAGGAGGGGAGATCAATCCATAATCTTCCAACTTAGAACACAACATGTACCCCTCAACCAACATCTCAACCGAATTGGAGTAAAGCAGTCTGCTGCCTGCCCACTATGTGACTACCCCTCAGAGACAGTGGAACATCATCTGTTCTTCTGTAGAAAACTAACTGATTTAAGGGGATGTTTTCTTCCCAAGCTACCCCACACATCTAATTGCCTCTACTCCTCAAGACAACAATTAGAACAGACATGCAGCTATTACCGAATGGCATCATGCAGAAGAGTTAATGCTCAGATGCTACCGGATCGCTAACAACAACAACATGCCTGGGATCATTTTGTACCGCAGGAGTTGTATTCTTACATTTTAGAATACTTCTAGTGCGAAGATCTCTTTGAAACGTTCAGTATTTCTCAAGAAATCATTTTGACAGACTGCTATGCAAGGTGTATCAATCGGATTAACGTGTAAATTTCCTCTTTGGAAAGTGGTGGCACAGAGTTCAACACGTCGTATGGATACGGTTGTAAAACACGACATACGGATAGGGTTAACAAGCATAGACTGACGCACCTTGACAAGTCTCTCCATCTTCTCCTCCTCCGTCTCCTCGTAGCCCTCCTTCATGTAGACGACCAGCTTCTCAAACGTCTTCTCGTCCGGGTGGTGGCCCAAGTAAGTTTCAGTCAGCTGGACAAACTGGGACACGTTGAGGACGCTTTCGTCAAACGCCGACATCTGGGACTGGCTACGGGACTGCATCGTTAACCCTGGAAACATTCAGGGAACATTTAGTTTTGAAAAATAAAAAGGAAAAGGAAAAAAAATAGATCAGATCAAACTTCAAGTAGAAATTTAAGCCTTTATGGCATGCTAAACCTGGGAGCGTCCGGCGGTAATACCCCTGTTCCCCATCAGACACTGGGAGCATCCAGTACTAGTGACAACTGTTTTGTATTATTTAGTGCTGGTTTTTGCTTGTTTTTCGGAACTATTCCAGAACCAAGTTTTTTAATAATGACTAAGCCTTTGTTTACGCGATTTAGAAGCTAAAGGCAAGCTTTTGGGGTTATAATGAGACATAGTGAACTAAGTTTAGGTGACTGTAGAAAAAAAACTTCAGGAAATGGAGGAAAAAACTCAGGGCTTAAAGAGTTAAACCTTTATGGCATGTTAAACGAATACATAAAATAATTAAAAGCATCAAATTAAAGTCATTTACCACACAAAAGAGTACTGTAAGGAAACAATATAACAAAACAGGTGATTCCTGGTTGTCACAGTGTCACAGAGCAACCCCCTGTTCCCATCTTCACTTGAGGAAAATATCATAAAGTATCTTTCCGACCAACACAAAATTTTCTCCGATGGAGCAGGGAGCCTAAAGTTAACTTTATCTATTTATCTGTCGCAAGTTGAAAGCCTTACCACTCAGTAACAACATCTCTGAAATCACATTTTTTAAAAATGAGATTAAACGATGACTTATACTGCTTAGTCTAAAAAGATAAATTTTCTTTTCTGAATTTGTCTCCTTTCACCTCATTTCCTGCTCTCTAGCAATGTTCTGTCGTCTGCTTTCGTCTCCTCTTTCTGCTCCTACCCCCCACCTCCTTTGCCCCTCCTCTGGGCTCTTGGCTCTTTTTGCAGCCTTTATACTGCTACTCCTTGGCTCCTTCTTGCTGCTGTCTTTCAGCCGCACCCCTGATCTTCTGGTAGGAAAGATCTACACCTAGCCTTCTTGGACAAGGACGAAAAAATCTCGAAGAGTCCAAGTACAAGTTGCGCACTTTAAAGATTCCTTGGTGGTCTAAAATCGATAATAGTAAGCTTCGGCCGCCACCTGGGCAAAATTCAAAATTTCATACCAACTGAAAAAGTTTAATGTGTCTCGAGCGCTCATATGCAGTTGGGAATGCCGTAAAAACCCTTACCAAAAAAAAAAAAAGAAGTCTTACACAGAGGAGTCAAAATACAGTAGTCTCCGCCTAAGATTCCAGTACTCGGGAGCAAGGAAAATGCGGGATCTTAGACGAATGGAATCTTAGCCGACACAACAAGGGAAGAATCTATTGTGCCCCATGTTAAAGCCCACAACCAGCAAAATGGTCTCCCTTCACTCTAAAATGAACTGACGTACGTGACCCCTGGATGGGTTCAAGCAAAGAGTGGTCAACTTTGATGACCAATCACAGTGGCATGAGGCACGCCATTTTAACTTATCATCCTATCGTAAGTCTCAAGATCTTTAACTCCAACGTCAAGTCTGTGCTCCTCTACGGCTGCGAAACTTGGAAGACAACGAAGACAGTACTGAATAAGGTCCAGACTTTCATCAACAGATGTATGAGGAGTATCCTAAGAATTAAGTGGCAGGATAGAATAAGAAATGAAGAGCTGTGGGAAAGGACAGGACAAAAGAATATAGAAGTAGAAATAGGACTAAGAATGTGGCGATGGATGGGACACACCTTAAGAAAGCCCAGCGGAAACATCACAAGACAGTCACTGCAGTGGAACCCACAGGCAGCACGAGGCAGGGGTAGGCCACGGGAAACATAGAGGAGGTGCGTGGAAAGGGACATGAGAGAAATGAAGCTCACTTGGAACGAGCTTGGAAGGATGGCTCAGGACAGAGATAAATGGAAGGAGCTTGTATGTGGCCTATACCCTGCCAGGGGTGAAAGGCATTGATGATGATGATGATGAAGTCTCAAGATCTACGCTTATCTTGTTGCTCCTCCCCTTTCCCTTTCCAACATTTAAAGCTTTCCACTTCTGTTCGAGATCCCCCCCCCCTCCCCCACTTTTGTCATTAAGCCCCATTACGTTGTGACCACACCAATTAAAATTCAGTCTATCTCACAAATTCGGAAGTAGAGACAACTGCTGCAATGGTCAGGGAAGAGTTCACAGTTAGATGTGATCCTGCCTGGTGGGAAGTGATTTAAGTTTCGGTAGAAAGCTCAGGCGCGAGTGCGATGTTCAGGGAAAACAAACGTGTCGGTGAGTTCACACCAGGGTGTGATTCCATCGGGGCAAACATTGTACTGTTTTATCGAGTTTTACAACGCTTATGTGATCACATTCACAACAGTGGCAGATCTTTGACGTGCCGGGCAGTTCAATTATCTCGATTGTGCACCCTCGGCTGATCAGCTGTGCCCGCCTGTGATTTTGTTCTGTAAATTATGATCTGAAATGCGGGATCTTAGCCGAATGTAGACTTTCAGAGTGAATCAGAGCGGGATCTGATCTTAGGGGTGAATTTTGTATAGCTAAAATTCTGTTTTCTTAAAATAACGGGATCTTAAGAGAACCAGGATCTTAAACAGTGGGATCTTAGGCGTCGGAGACTACTGTATTAAGGGAACAGCAGAAGTAGCACAGTGAGTGCCAAAAATATTTTAAAAAATTCTTTTTTAAAAAAGGAACATTCAGGACGGTGAAGGAGCGCAACTGTAAACAAACTGACCACCAAATTTCAAATGTCAAAAATGAAAAAAGTGACCATCAACAGGGAACTGAACTAGACTCACCTGGACTTCAGACTTACTTTGGGCATTTCGTACTCGGTAGCAACTATTTTCATTCTCATCCCCACAAGACCTCATCATTTTGTTATCGTTAGCATTTTTCCACAGGTGAGAGGCAAACTTTTCACAGGGCAATGACAACCACCTGATCAAACTTGCTACGGATTTTTCAGGGGTCAAATATCCAAAGAGGGGGAATCACAGAACTGGAATTAATATTTAGCATTCTAACAAGTGAGGAGAGCTTTTATAATCTGTTATTGTTGAAAGGAAAAGGGATTGGGGGGGGGAGTAATTCAATGCTATCTATGTAATTCTTTCACCAAGACAAGAAGGCAATAGTCACAGAATTGTACTTCACAACAGCAAGAGTACGCTTTAAACACTTCATGACACCTCCTGTATATAGAACATCATGAGCCAACATGCCGCTCCCTTGTACAACGTAAGACCTCAAATGCACCAATCAGGATTTTACAACTGTTCCAAGATGGCTAATTAGAACTGAATTTTTACTGAACAACTAATGAAAACTTCGAAATATCTGCGATAACAAAACTGTTTAAATCAGATAAATTTTTTATTTGGAAAGGGACGGCAAAATGGTTGAAACTGCTCAACATCCTAGTTAGCTAAAATTTGGCACATTAAAAGTTGAAAAAAACAACCCTTACTTCACAGAGGGATTAACAGAGAAGGACAGGTAAGTTTTAGACTGAGTCTGAGCAGGGAGTAATTTCTGTCTGGATGAACTAAGCTCCTTTGACTAGCAACATTTGTGAGGCAGCGTGGTGGAATCAGGCTCTCGTCAATTTTTGGGCATGTAGAGTTATTGGTATCATCTTAAAGCTTGTCCAGTTGTCTTTATGTGGATGAAAATAACATCCATTTATCTTGAATACAAGTCGAGATATTTGCGAATGAAGGAGGTAGAGGTCGCCTGTTTTCGTAGGTACAATTAGTGAGAAAATTGCCAACAAAGATTTGTTATTTCCTTAGCTTTAAAGTCCGCGGTAACTGAAAATTTACATTTTTGCGCCTTTAATCAATGTTTTTCAGAAAAATCCACACAGAAATGAGTTCTATAATGAGCGTGAAAGGTGTTGAGCCAAAAAAACAAAAATTTGATAAAAATTCACAAACCTGCGGAAAATGCAAGTTTCTTCACTTTGATTATTTTGACAAGAGCCTGATTCCACCACGCTGCCTCACAATTTCTGTCTGGATGAACTAAGCTCTTTTCACAAGTCAACTCTTTGAGAACGTGGCTAACACATATGTGAGGCATCGTGGTGAAATCAGGCACTCGTCAAAACAATGAAATCAAAGAAACGGGCATTTTTTTCGTCAGTTATGTAATTTTTACTGAATTTTCGGGTTTTGACTTAACACCTTTTATGTCCATACAAAACAAATTTTCCATGTGAATTTTATTGAAAATCGTTGATCACAGGCACAAAATATGTATTGTTGTTATCGATCCAGAGGCACAAAATATGTAAACTTTCAGTTTCCATGTGAATTTTATTGAAAATCGTTGATCACAGGCACAAAATATGTATTGTTGTTATCGATCCAGAGGCACAAAATATGTAAACTTTCAGTTTCCATGTGAATTTTATTGAAAATCGTTGATCACAGGCACAAAATATGTATTGTTGTTATCGATCCAGAGGCACAAAATATGTCAACTTTCAGTTCTCAAGGACTTTCAAGCTATTGAAGTTACCAAACTTTGATGACCATTTTCTCGCTAATTTTACCTCTGAAAACAGGTGACTTTTACCTCCCTCAACTGCAAGTACATTTGTATCTGGACTTCTGTTTAAAACAGATGGGTATTTTTAAAAATATTTTTTTTTCGTCGAAAGCAAGGCAAATGAATAAGTTTTCAGATGATACCAATAACTTTATATGCAAAAAAAAGATTTTTTTAAATTGACGAACG